CGACCATAAATTATCACTGATCGGCAAAACATAGCCTGCAAACCAGTTGTCAGTCAGTAAGTGTGCAAACGTAAACAGGCGGGATAGTTTAAGTCGGATGCGCTGCAGCGAGCAATCCACGCAGGAGTGCCTAATGACTGTGGTCATGCGAGGTACCGTTAACATCAACAGAATAGCAGCAAAAACGAAAACCGAGCCAATCCTCCAAGAGAGAATGAAATCCCGTAAGCATGTGCAAAAGTACGCAAACAAATTTAGGGGTGGGTACAGTTATGTTCCGTTAACAATGCCAACGGGATGACAATAAAGCGCGAGGTAGAACCATAGCTGACAGGCAATTAGGGGTAAGTGCGAATGAAATTATCCGAACAAAAGAGATGAATATAGCGGGGCAGTTTGGCGTCAGCACCTTTACTTTCACATAATCAGAAGCATCGTTTTAGTCTACCGTTACAATTCTTATGAGATTTTTATATGGAATGAGGAAGCTAAAAGGCTGAAATCTAAAGTTTATCGACAGCTACGCGGGGCTGGCAGGCATTTTACATCGTCAGACAGCTCTAACCCGAGCCAAGTCGAAAAGATTGGAAACTTGAACGCCCGTTGGTAGCTTGGACACAAACCACCGCGGCAATAAGCGTACACGTTCTGTCAACTACCTTAAGAAATACTCGTCACGTGAAACTGGGCCTTATAGATTTGGACCAATAAATAGATGATGCCAGTAGGCCTACGGTAGGCAATCGTTTGAAACCGAGTAGTGGTCAGGGACTCAGTCAGTAGGTTCATTAGGATTCCTTGCTCCTGCGCTCCAACCACTACTAACAACAAGGTCACGCATAAGGACACTCCTAACCGTAGTCCGATGTACATTACAAAAGACCACCCTCTGCGTATCCTCAGCAGCCAGCGTTGGGGCAGTAGACCGCAAAAGCTGTTTTATTGACGACAGCATCACAAAGACTTATAAGAGCAATTATCGGTAACGCGGGTCGCCAGCGTATGAAACGGATTCTGGCTTCATCATGCCGTGACCGAAGCAAAATGTCGACTAATAACAATAATATTATCGTGATAGATATGGAAGTACTCCCGGGTTCCATAGAGGCGGACAAAGCCAAAGGGCTAGTGGCTCAAGATGAGATAAGTCC